AATAAAGAACAAACTGCAAGAGAGGGGAAAAAAAGAAAAAAAATGGCTACTGGAAAATATGGGGTCGCCGGAGATGGAGGTTCAGGTCGCAGCAGATGGAGATGTCGTCGGAGATGAAGAACAGAGTGACAGCCGCAAGCAGAACAAGTAAAAAGTCAAAGAAACAGAGATCGAAGTTCGTCGGAGAACACAGAGACGATCGGAGACGAGATCAGAGACAAACGGAGATGAGATCGGAGACGAGAGGGATTAGAAGAGAGAGTGAGAGAGAGATTTGAGATGAGGGTCGGCTTTGATTGTCGAAGAAGAGGACTAACCTTATTTCTGCGCGGGTCACCGTTGGGCCCAGTCGAGTTTGGGCCCAAACTGTCAAATCCACCATTTTTGAAGCATTTCCGCCATGCGGGTAACGGCCGCCATGGCGTCGCCATCTGAATCCGCCATTTAACAGAGGCGGTTTAACGGCAGTCTTTAGAACTGCCATGGCGAACCGCCATGGCCGCCATTTGATAACACTGCTCAAAGTTTCTTAGATAATGTTTTCAAGTTACATGGGTTTCCTGCCTCAATTACCAATGATAGGGATCCTATTTTTGCAAGTCAATTTTGGAAGGAATTCATGTCACTTCAAGGTATATAGGTTCAATTGTCAACTGCTTACCACTCACAAACAGATGGCCAATCTGAAGTGGTAAATAAATGTCTTAAAACTTATCTCAGATGCATGTGTTCGGATACTCCAGAGCAGTGGTCTAAGTGGTTGTCACTAGCTGAATGGTGGTACAATACTACTTATCACAGCACAATTAAAGCCAATCCTTATGAGATAGAATCTAGGATTGAGTTAGTAGACAGAAGCTTGCAGAAAAGAGAAGAGATGCTGAAATTAATCAAGTTCCATATGAAGAGAGCCCAGGAGAGAATGAATCAACTTGCCAATAAACATAGATCAGACAGGAGCTTTCAGATTGGAGAATTGGTCTATGTAAAATTACACCCCTATAGGCAAGTATCAGTTGCATTTCGAAGCAATGCCAAATTATCTCCCAAAGTATTATGGTCCTTACCCAATTATGGACCAAATTGGCGCAGTAGCATACAAGATCAAGTTACTTGTAGGTTCTCAAATTCATGATGCATTCCATGTCTCCCAATTAAAGAAGTTTGTTGGAGACACTACTGTTGCTAGTCAGTGTCCTAGTACAAATGCAGAAACAATTGTAAAGGAGCCTGAAGCTATTATTGACAGGATTGATAGCGAAAAGAGGCAATCGGGCAGTCACTAAAGTTTTAGTGATATGGAAACACCAGCTAATTGAGGAGGCCACTTGGGAATTCTTTTATGATTTGAAGAAGAAAAATCTATCATCCATTGATTAGTAGTATGATGGAAATTAGGACACGTGTAGATTGTTGTCATCCATTGATTAGTAATATGATAGAAATTAGGACACGTGTAAATTCTAATTGAATTGATTAGATTCTATTGTAAATTTGAGAGTCTGTTATAGTGTGGTGTTATAAATAGGACGGTTTGAGAAATGTCATTCATTCAACAAAATATACCAAATTCTTGTAAACCCTCTTCTTCAATGATATTGCATAATTCACATTGAAGTTCATTCTCTATCTTGAACTCTCTTGTTCTCTTGGTTCTTCGAATAAATCCACTATTCCTAGTTCCATCTACATCAATTTTGATATTTTTTTATTGTTCCATTGTCATACAGTTGTATTATTGTTAAATTCCATTGTTCAGCATTCAGCAACAAAAACACAAAAGAAGAAATGAAAAGGAAAAGAAAAACAAATACCCTAGAGAAAAAAGAAAACCAAAAATAAAACAATCTGCAAAAATTAATTTGCAAAGGAAAAAAAACTCACTATCATTCATAAAAAAATTTTCTTCAAGTTTTACAATCAAATGCCTAAAACAATAAAAATAAATGAAAATACATTAACAATAGTATACATGGTCAATTCTTACCCATGAATGTGATTTCTTTCCTAGTTAAAAGGTTTCATAATTGAAAACAACATTGATGGTAGATTCTCACCCATAAATGTCATGTTTTCCTAATTTAAATTCTGTGTGAATCTAAACTTTATTTGCTCCCACATTGATTGAGGAAGATTATATTTTGGTGTAATTATTTTAGCCAGCCCACCCTAATTTACAAACAATGAAACGACTCCTAAATAAACCTTAAAGGCTAAAGTAGCACCCAATTGCCTCATAATGCATCCATATGGTCCAAATCAATTAAAATGCTACAAATCAACATGAATAAGCAAGACCAAGAGTTTGGGCTCTTATAAACCATGAGTTTTATCCCTTGCTTTTGGTTCAGTTCAAAAACTATGAATGAAGCTTCTAAGATCATCACGCATCTTCTTGGCTTTTGCACGTTTAATAGGTCCACCTTGTATACACAAAGGATCTCATGAATCTTTATTTGCAATCCTATCTTGGATCCCATCAGTTACCTAACATCAATGTTATGGTTCAAGTCCAAACCAAAATCATCACTTTAGAAAGAGCATTTCCCACCCACTATCCCCACCTTTAGATATTGATCTTATAGTTATGCCCATAGACCTTGGTAAAATCCCAAAGATAGGGAGCCAAGATTCCTCTTTCTTTGCAAATATCGTTCAATTCAATGACTCTCTTCAGCCAGAGTGGTCTCTGTTGGCTCTGAAATGAGCAAGATATCCACAAGGCATGTCTAAAATGGCCAACTAATTCACTCAATTGCTTGACGAATGGACTCTGTTCTGCAATATGGATTCACAATCGCCTCCAAAGAGCTTTCGTGGCTTTATAATGGATTGAAGATATTCTACAACTACTCCGAATCGAAAGGCAATAAATAAATTTGATAAAATAGCTAAAATGTAAAGTAAGACGAGTTGAGGAAGTAAAATAGCTGAAAAATACAAATTTCATTCATAATTTTTTGCGTGGACCTTGTACAATAGTCTCTTCTTCTATTTATACTATTACAACTAAAATATGATGCAAAAACATCATTATGGTCACTACATGATGGGGGTAATGCCAACTCTTCTTCAAGGGTTCCTCTAAATCACTTGAATCTCCCCACTGAATCCATCAGTTGACTCTTCCACTAAACCCACAATACTAATCCCTTATGAATATAAGGAACATTTTTTTACCCTAGGTCCTTGGCTTTTGGCTAGATCAGAGGGTGAAAGACTCTTGAACAAGTACATGGCACTCGTGATGACTCCCCTCTCTATAGGTTGTGATTGGTTTCTCTTAGTCAAATTTCCCAAAGATTAGAAGAGCTGGCCAACACTGCTTCTACATGCTTTCATGGCTAGAAATGCCATGGCAACTAGTGCTTTTGTTTCCAATCTTGGAATTTTGGTCAACAAGAGTCAACGACTTCATCTTCACTGGCAATATGGTTAGCCTTACTCTTTTTCAGGCGTGGCAGCAATTTTGGGGGTTCTAAATGATGAGGATGAGCTCCCAGGTCTTCATGATTCCTATTGCTGCCTCCTCCAGATGTGTCTGAATCTTATACTTCACATTTTTCCTAGTGTTTTGTACCCCATGCCTCCGAATCTTATACTTAACATAGAGGACACCATTTACATGCAGTTCCTCTTATGGCTGCCTCCGCCAGATGTGTCAACTTCCCAAGTAGTTTGATCACCTCCTCTGTTATGGTTTTACCGGTGCTTTTTCTCTCATGATCTCATCCCACTAGCTGACTAGCTAGTGGAGCCAGAATGGTTTGCCACAGACCCTTCTTCTAGTGTTAGGGCTAGTCTTTATTAATTGCATTTAAATTTGATCCCTATATGTCTAATAATTTTTAATTTAACCCCTAATCAAGCAAAAAATTTAAAACACGTCAACCTAAGTTCTTACAATAAAAAGTGTATTAGACACAAAAATATATTAAAAATGATAATAGTCCATATATTACGAAAACAGAAATATGTGAATGAAAAATAGATATACTGACTAAATGTAAAAACATTTTTATCATTTTCTTGTTTCCACTAGCATGTTATACTTGTGAATTGTCTATTTTGCGGCATATCTTCACATCTCCACTAATCAGAGGACAAACTCGTCAAATATCCATTTCCGGTATTGTGTCAAAATTGATAGTATCTCTCACTTCTATTAGAATTGTGTTACCTCTTCAACTTCACTAATTTTTTTCCCTTAACAGTGTGGGTCTATTAGGTCCTTTTTTTCAGATAAGATTTCTATGACATTGTTCCAAAATTCCCTAGAAAGCTCTTAAAGCTTTCCTAAAGTGTTTAAGCAAGCTTATCCAATTTCAATTTGCAAGTACTTTCTCTATTTACTCTAACACAACCCACACTGTTATTATATTATGTGAAATTTTAATGTTTCAAAATGTTACAAAATAGAGCAATAGAAGGGACTGTCGTCAAAACAATTTTCAAGATTAGAATAAGATTAATGGTATTTTTAACGTATGGACAAAAGCACGTGATAAGAATCAATATACAGTAAATTTTTATTGAAAATCACATGATATCACTGAATTCAATGAATTGATAACATTAACTATTACAAAGTTTTGATAAAAATTTACTATACATAAATTATTAGTTTGTGCCCTTATGAACACAATAGAATTTTTTTTTTATTGAAATAGGTCTAATTACACTTTCAATTCTTATATGCATTGTTTTTGTTTGGTCACATTTAATCTTCTAATTCTTCAAATTAAATTTCTAGTCATGAAATTTCATTTAATAATTAAACAATATATATAACAAAAGGGAAACAAATTATTAATTTGTAAAATTAGTAACGAAAAATGTGTAAATTTGTGTGACAATTTTCCGACTAAATTCATATTTTAACCTCTAAAAAACTGTATTTGAAAGGGTTGTCAAACAGAGAAAAAATAAATGGGTATCTGACTTTTCACTAGATTTTCAAAACATAAATAAAAAGGAAGAAAACCTAAGAGGGGAATTACCTCTAACACCAGCGTTGTTAATCAAGGCGTCGATACGGCCAAAGGCGTCCCAGGCCTTCTGCACAGCCTTCTCGATGGTGGACCCATCGGCAGCGACGTCGAGTTCCACCGCAACCGCGCGGCGGTTTCCTGCAGCAGACGACGGCATCAGGTGGTTGATTTGGTGGCAGAGCGATTTGAGGCGATCGAGGCGGCGAGCCGCTGCGACGACGTAGCAGCCAGCTCTGGCAAGGTCGATGCAGAAGTCTCGTCCGATTCCCGAAGAAGCACCGGTAACCAAAACGACTTTGTCGTTTAGCTTGTGCCATGGCTCCAGCTGCTCCGAGACTTGTGCTGCATCCATTTAAGTGACTTATTGCTTCAAATTAATGTCAGTATCAAGATTTTCAGAGAGACAATGTGCCTCGACTGGAAAGTGATGAAATAAATAAACAAGTAGGTTTAAATTAGACATTAGTCTATGTAGTTAAAAAGCTAATTTTTAATGCTTATACATTTGTTTTGTTTCACTTCGGTGCATGTACTTTAGTTTCCCCTTCGTAACAGTACTTCTATTATCGAAGTCAATGTTACATGTTAATATAAAAATTAAGCTTAATTATATTTTTAATACTTATAAACATAGGTTTTTACAAATATTTTTATTAAAAAGTAATTTTTTTTAAAGTTGGTAATTTAAGAATTAGGAAGTAATTTTTTTAAAGTTAGTAATTTAAAAATTAGTCTCTCTCACATAATGCCACATGTTATTTAAGATTTTTATTTTTTATTGATTAAAATAAATATTTATAAAAATATCCATAAACATATTTTATATATTTACAAAAAATTTATAAACATGTTTTATATATTTGCAAAAAAGACTTCTTTCTTCTTTGTTAAACTTCTCTCCTTCAATACTTGCAACTCCACTTCCAATCTACCTCAACCTACACTATCATCTCTTGCTCTAACTCCTCCCCTACCCGCACTCCCAACCTCCACCTTCCTCACCCCAACCCCAACCTCCATTTTCATTCCTTCCTCCAACCCCTCCCTCACCTCCACTCCAAACCTCCACCTTTCTCACCCCTTCCTCTAACTCCTCCCTAACCCCCAACCTATATTCTCACTCCTTCCTTCAACCCCTTCCTCACCCCCTCCATTTAAGTGAGCTACTCCTTTATGCATAATCACTTCTTTTAGATTGAGCACATCATCCTTGAAACCTCCACCATAGACATACTCCTCCATGCCTAGCGAGGTGTACACCATGTCTAATTCTCCCGTAATGAATTTAACGAGCACCTTGATTCACACTCCACTCCATGGTGCCATGAACTCCCAATTTCTGCAAATAAATACAAATAGTTAATTAAATTTTAAATGCAATTCTTGTCACGTTGCATAAACATTTTCCCAAAACATATACAGCAGTGGAAAACAATGTTCTAGTCAACACTGAGAATAAAGAGATTGCAAGTTCAAATTTTTGTAGTAGTTCAAGCCACCCGTGAAGCCGATTTTTTTCAAATTTGGAGACATAATAGTGAAGATCATCTTGTGTGAGCCATGAAGGCAATGTCTCAAGCATATCTGTAACACCTTAAATTTAATTTCAAAATAATAAATTTTACAAAATGGGAATAATAAAATTTTCATTTTAAATAGACTTTCCTAACGCATAGTTTCGACAAAGTATTTCAAAATAATAAGGGTTTACAAATTTTGATCAAGTAAATGCTACTGGACTAATCCAAATACATCATATGTTCAAAATAAAATATAAGCCCTATAGCAGTATCATTCATTCCTTTACTGAGTCCGGTGTTGATTGTCTTGGTCACCTGAAAAACAAATGTAAGGGTGAGTATTCTACACTATACAACACACGTAAATATAGAGACTCACTTCACACACTTCACATAATTTCTAACATATTCTACACAAGTATAATTTACAAACAACAATTTTTCATGCATTTCATTTCAATTCACAACCGATGCACTCACTGCACCAACAACATTTTACACATACATGCACTCACTGCATGTAGTCACGCTCACTGTAGCACTGTGATCACAGTTTCACACTATGGATGGTCACCGGTTACTCCCACCTCACAGATACAATGTGTGCGGTCACGTTCGACAAAGGTGTTGTTGGTTAGAGGTCTAGTTAGGAGGAGAGTGTGCGGCTTGTGGTGCACCCACGCTCACTGTTGGTGTCACCACCACTCTCTCTTCCCCAAGGTATTTTTATCGTCCCTATCTTTCACACATCTAGTGTATCACTGAACCATTCATGACATATTCACAACCGCATTTAACATGCCTTTTCACATACCTTTCAACCACATATAGTATTCATATTTGCACATGGCACACAGGCCCACATTCATTCAAAGCACACAACGCATATGCCAATATTCCACCACACAAGGTTCAATCATACAGTTTTTATCATAATATCCCTACAACCATTCATTTCATCATACCCAATATTTCTCAATATCGATAGTACTAAGTTTCACACGATCTTTGCACTACAATTTCACTACAATCAATCAATTCTACCAAACATACATTCCAAACCATCCACATGACAATGTATAACATCCTTCTCTTAATAATCTATTTTCTTTTGTAATAATATGGAAATGTCATAAATTATTTTATTAAAACTGTTAAAAAATAGATGAATGTAGAAAATGTTTCTACATACTTAGATTCTAAATTGAAGAAAAGGTGAAAAATTTAAACCTCATATATACATTTCAAGATTCTCAAAACAACAATTTTAAAACAATTTAAACTATCATACTAATAATTCTTCTTAGTAAATTTATCAAAATGATTTAACTCCAAATTAAAACTTTCATCAATATAATTACATAAGGTAAATGACTTTAAATAGAAAATATTCACTAATATCTTTATAAATCTTCATTAAATAAATTAAACTCTTCAGAGTAATTCCTTTCCTACCATTTCATGCAGATATGGCCCTAGAACGGATAGACCTTCCTTACCTGAAAAATAGTTGTAAGGGTGAGCATTCCTTGTCCACTAAATCTTAAATTATAACATAAAGGAAACAATGCATATAATAAGTCAAATACATTCTATTTCTAACAAATTCAATCATCATTTGACTAATTAACACCTATTTCTGATTGTATAACACTATAACTCAATTATTCAATTCATTTCACTTTATCATATTGATTTTAATATATTTCTAAATTTTTATTCAGGGTTTACACATTCTCTACTTCTTCTAGCATACACATGCAGTATAACTTCTATTATTCTTGAGAAATAATTAATCCATTCACATCAATTTCCTCCAGACTTAACTTTTCAATTAAACATACAATTACAAGACATGAAAACATATCACTTTACACTTAACCAAATATCATCCAATCCATAATTTGTGCCACTTTATTCATTTCTCATATGAAAATTTCATCAAATTAACGGTACTCTAGGTACTTTCGGACCTCTTAATCACCACCAACGTACTCTCTCTAGTTACGAAGGACTTATGCAGCATAGATAGTCGTTGGTGAGTCAAATCATACACGGATACAATGTGTGCGTTTACGGCCTTCCAAACAAAGGTATAGTTTGGAGGGCAAGTGTACCCATTGAAAAGTAAAAAAGAGTTATTAAATTAAGTTTCCGAAATATCGTCCCACAAGGATTGATTTCTAATTACTAAGAATTTTCTAATTCAATTGTTTAAGCTTCAAAGATATGAGATCAATTAAAATAAGAATTTATAAAATTAACTATAAAACTAAAAGCAAGGAATACAATGCACATCTTAACTATAAATTCGATTTCCTTGTGATTGCTAATCATTCATACGAATACTATTAATACCCAATGGTCATGCAATATTAATATTCATTTCTCTAAATTAACATCCCCAATGGTCATGCAAGACATCAATTTAAGAAAGCTTAAGGAATCTATGAACTTGTTAATTTAATAATGATTAGAAGAGAAAGATTAGTTTAGTCCACCTAATCCTTTGTCTCATTTTACCCTATAGATCTATTAATTAACCGAGATACGATCACCTGATGACATACTTAATTAGAATTAAGAGAGAAGCGCAATAGGATAAAATCTAATCGCGAAACGGAAATCAAATTTAGATTCAAAAGTCAAAATTCCATAAATTCATAAACAATAGTTCCCATAGCCCTAGCTATGGATCTAGTTACTCATGCAAAAGAAAGGAACTAAAACAATCATAAACAAAGCTATAATTAAATGAAATAGCAAACTAGAGTGTGAGATGTGTTCTTGGTGTGTACAGTGAAAAATGACAATTGTAAACAAATAATCCAAAGATCAATCTGGGAACTGGATTTAGGTCCTCTTTGGGTTCTTTTAAGTGTGTTGTTAATGTGATGCTCAAATTAACAGCGTAAAAGAGTATTAAGCAAGAATAGTGAATAATAAATAGGCAAATTTACAAAAATGTAGTAAACAGGAAACAAACAGTGTACAAAGATACAAGCAACAAGCACTGAAATTAAAATGCAGAAAGGTAAATGCAGGAATGTAAAGGTGCTGGAATGTAAACGTACGACTCCTCACAACAGTGAACAACGGCCACCGTGGGTCTCCTTGTAGCTGGTGTCTGGCGCGGTGCAGGGTTTCAGCGTCTCAGAGTGTTTAGGTGCGGTGTCTAGGTGCAAAAAGTCGTCCTTTGTGAAATGGTGCTTTGGAGTATTTATAGACATGAAGATCATCACCGTTTTCCTCCTTTTGTGGGCACTTCTTAGTAACTGCCTTCAACTGTTGATGTTCACTATCCACGATTGCTTGTGATCGTGCTGTTCATTGGGGGCTTCTTTCGTAACTGCTGTCCCCCATGATCTCCTTTGCGTAGTGGTGAATATTGATAACTACTGGTAACCGCTTTTGAATTTTTCAAGACTCCTATCTTTCGAGTATTTCTGAGAGGAATCTAGGAGACTCCTTAAATGTTATGGCCTTAGAATAGTTTCTTTTTGACTTCTCTATTTGAGTCATTCTGGAGTTTTGAGAGCCTGTCTTGGTCTTGTGGACTTAGAACATTTTCTTTGCTCATTTCTATTTTTCGAGCAATTCTGGAGGGACTCTGGAGCTCTGCTAGGTTTGTGGACTTAGAATATTTTCTAACCACTTCTTGTTTTCCAAGCAGTTTTGGGTGTCGGGGACTTGAAAACTCCTCAAAAACTTCTCGAAAAGCTATCAGTTTTTGTGGACTTAGAATATTTTCTTGTCAGTCCTATTTTTCGAGTAGTTTTAGATGTCAGTGACTTGGAAACCCCTCAAAACTCCTCGAAAAAGCCATCAATTTTGTGAACTTAGAATATTTTCTTGTCAGTCCTGTTTTTCGAGCAGTTTTGAATGTCAGTGACTTGGAAACCCTTCAAAACTCCTCGAAAAAAGCCTTCAGTTTTGTGGACATAGAATATTTTCTTGTCAGTCCTGTTTTTCGAGCGGTTTTAGAGAAAAATCAACAAGGTGACAAAAACCTCTAAAATAGCTCGAAATGTGTTCCTTTTATATTCAGGTTTATCTTTGGCTCCTTCTTGACTCTCAAAACTTGTTGAAATGTAGTTTTCTTCAAGATGATTTTTAACTTAGAAAATTTTCCTTATCCCAAACACTTGGTTTTCAAGTATGATCACTCGAAGCTCCAAGTCTCGCCAAGAGTGTGCCAAAGATCCTGTACAAGATAGGTAAGATGTGATGTATCCTAGAGCAAAAGCCAAGGTCAAAACGGTCTCCACTACGATGCCTGAGGTCTCCCTTTTAATAAGGTTTCAAAACCCTAAAGACTCTTCATAATTGGGCTTCTCGCAAATGACTAGGGCTGTGCAAGGCCTTAAGCACGACTGTGCATGGGTTCCAAGCACCCTCGTGCTTATTGAATGGGTCTGGGCGTGCTGACTGCTGCGAAACTCTAATCTTCCATCAATTTGGGCCTAGAATGCACCCAAAATCCACTTGCTACTTCTTTATACCAAACTACACAATTAATATATAAATTAGTGTAAAACCCAAATAAAATAAAGGTCAAATATGAATATATGGGTTGTAAAAGAGGGCCTAATTACAAATTTATCAACTCCCCTACACTTATCTGTTTGCTTGTCCTCAAGCAAAGTGCTGGTTAAGTGAATAACATAATAGCTTAAAATATAATACCACACAAGGAACCTGAAACAACGGAGATAAAAAGAGCAACAAGAGTAATATCAATGAGCATAAGCAATCAAAAGGATTCCTAATTAGAATCTTATAATTCCATACTTTTCACTCAAACGTCGTACTCTACTTTTGTCTCTCACTAAAGGATAAAATGAGATATCACCTAGTTCTCCTAAAAAAAACTCCTAAAGAAAAGTGTACTACCATAGGCTTGACCATAAACCGACTCTTTACTAAATAAATTAAATGCAAGTAAAAATCATGATGTCTTTTTCAGGTTATAATGTGGTCAAAGGGTTATAATAATTGAGGTGAGATAAATGAAGGAAGGGAATATACAAAGGGGTAATAAATTATAAAAATTAAAAACATCCCCTAAGTTTACAAATGAAGTTCTTGAAGTAATTTTTATATTTTACATATAATCAATATCTTTAATCCTTTCTCCTTTCATTCATGCATAACCCTTTGTCTTTTCTTTTTGCTATTTTTCATTTTCCTTTTCATACTTTCTTTCTTTCCTTTTGCACATAAGAGATATAGAGGATAATTTATCAAACAATTCAACAACTCAATTGCTCCAATTGTAAACGCAAGGTCATCAAAACATTCCATAAATTTAATGCAAGGGACCAAGAAAATCAATAAAGCTCAAAGTGGGCAACTAGTTGTATCTCAAACATATTGAAGGCCAAGAATAAAAATTCTATTATGCCTCAATTACATTAAAAACATGCAATTAAAAAAAGAAGTCTTAAGTCGGTTCCAAGTCAAGTTCTAGAGCACAAATCCTAAGAAGATAATGAATAACCACACAAAACAATGAAGAAAGGGGTACAATTAATTAAATTAAGATAAAAATCTCCTTTAAGGCTCAAACTCACATCTGTGGGTTAAAGTTTAATGTAGAGCATAAAAGTAAGGAACTTAGCTAATTATTAGTTTCCAAATGAAAGTATAATGTCAATAATAATCACTCACATGCTCTTCTATCTGGAAAAATTGGGTTCGATAAGGGAAAATGTTTTAAATTATCCTGAACAAATAACATAGGCACTTTACTCAAGAACATGAAATAACAAACATATAATTAGGAACTACTCCCCTATAGTTAAAGCGAAACATTGTCCTCAATGTTTGAAAGCAATCAAATTAAAAGCATGCAAAGATGGCAATTAAATAAAAGGAAAGAGGTTTCTTGATAATTCTTGGCACGACAGCTTCGAGTGAGGGAGCACGACCATGCTTATGATGTAAAGCTTTCTCTCATAATTGTGACTGAATGCACGGGCATGGTTTCAGATCAGAGCTCAAAAGTGTGTGCAGGAACAATCAACTCAGTTCTTGCAATCTTTCAATATTCTTATTCTTTATTTTAAAAATAAAATAACAATAGCAAAATTAAAATAAACAAAGAAAATAAAATTTAAATAAAATAAAAGATAGGTTGCCTCTTAGGAGCGCTTGTTTAATGTCACGAGCCTAACGTTCCTGTTAAATTATGGTGGGAAGAAGGCATAAGTCTCAGAGGTGACTCCCTTGATATGTAATCGTCTCCCCAACAGTTTTGCCTCCCTAACACCTATTACATCAGAAAAAGTATTCATAAGATGAGGATTAGAATAAAGAGAAAAAAATTTAAGCTCTAAATTAGGAGGCTTATTAGTAGATGATTTAAGCTTTTGTCTTTTCTTCTTTTTATATTGCTTCCTCCTATGCCTTCTTCTTGGGTTTCATGTTTCATATAACTTGGAGAAAGAGAAGCAATATCCACAGTGCTCACAAAGTTATAGGACTCTTGGCTAGAAGGATACTTGAAATATAACTTCCTCATCATTTAGCCTCAGTGTGAGCTTCCCTTCTTGTACGTCTATGATGGCCCTTGCAGTGGCAAAGAACAGTCTTCCTAGTATGATGAGGACATCATTATCTTCCTTCATGTCAAGCACCACAAAGTCAGCTGGAAATATAAACTCTCCAACTTTTACAAGTACATTCTCTATTATGCCTTTAGGGTATGTGATCGACCTATCTACCAGCTGAAGTGACATGGAGGTCGGCTTAGGTTTATGCATTCCAAGCTTCCTGAAAATAGAATAAGGCAAAAGATTAATACTTGCTCCTAAATCACATAAAGTCTTATCAATATGAGTTTTTTCAATCATGCAAGGAATAGTAAAACTCCTTGGGTCCTTAAGCTTAGGTGGAAGATTTTTAAGGACTATAGCTGAGCACTCCTGAGTGAGCCTCACAGTTTCATGTGCTCTCAACTTTCTCTTATTGGTCAAAATGTCATTTAAAAGTTTAGCATATTTGGACATTTTGGAGATAGCATCAATGAAAGGCATATTGATGTGCAATTTGCCCAATAAGTCTAAGAACTTGTGAAACTCTTCATCATAAGGAAAGTGACCTTGCAGCCGCTATGGGAAAGGTATCTTAGGCTTATAGGGCGATTCTTGAAATTTCTTTCCACTTCTAAGGGTAATGGCATTGCATTGCTCCCTTGGATTAGGCTCTAGCTGAGATGGCAGTGTTCCCATCACTTTTTGACTCAGAAGGTTCATAAGTTACACTAATTGTGCACTCATCTTAGAAGAGTTGGCTTGTATTTCAGCTTTGACTTCTATGAACTTCTTATCAGTTCTCTCAACATGTTGGTCCAACTTGGATTCAAGCTCTATCATCCTCTTATCAGAGTACTGCATATATTGCATCATTTGTTCTTGAAAGTTTGACTGAGATCTAAGGGTTTTTTTCCTTCTGGTCTTGCTACTTGATTTTGCACATGTGGAGGGCGATAAACACTTGAATTTTGGCTTTCAAAGCCATTCCCCTAAAAGTTAGAAGAATTACTCTTTCACCCCGAATTGTGATTGCCCATGAAATTTGCCTCATCTTGCTTAAATTCTGGGCTTGTAGGAGCTCTTACAAGTTGGTCTTGAGCCTTCATTAAAGATTCTAGTTTGCTTTGCAAGGGCTGCCATTTGGTTCATTAGTGGGCTGCTGCTCTCTGCTTGGTAGACCAAGGCGGTCTCTTTCCTCTTGATGTCGTAAGAGTCAGCAGTGTGCCCTTGAAAACTGGAAGATGCCATCTTATCTATTAGCTTGTATGCATCATCTGGATCTTTTCTTATGAGGGACCCTCTTGCTACGGCATCAATTGTTGCCCTGGTGGAAATTGATAAGCCACTGTAAAAGATTTGCACCTATCTCCATTTTGGGAAATCATGATGAAAACACTTCCTCAAAAGCTCTCCAAATCATTTCTATGCCTCGAATAAGGATTCTGCTTCATATTGCTGGAAGCAACATATCTCTGTCATAAGCTTAGACGACCTTGATGGGGGAAAGTACTTTCCCAAGAATTGTTGAGTGAGATCCTCCCAAGTTGTGATGGAATTGGCTGGGAATGAGGAAAACCATGCATTCACCTTTTCAGATACTGAGAAGGGGAAAAGGCAGAGTCAAATCTTATTGTTGAAGACTCCATTGTATTTGATGGTATCAGTTAATCATAAGAACTTTGTTAGATGGAGGTTGGGATTTTCGTTAGGCATGCCTCCAAACTCTATCGAGTTCTAGACCATGGTTATGGGTGCTGGTTTCAATTCAAAATTGTTTGCCTCCACATTAGGGGCCGCGATGCTTCAAGGGGTGCCTCTAACAGTAGGTGTCATGTAATCTTGAATTTATCTTCTTCCCTCTGCCATTTTTTGCTCTCTCATTTCTTTTCTTTGTCTACAAATTGTTCTTTCAATCTCTGAATCAAATAAACATGCTGTAGAGCACTTAGAACAAGTGAGTATACACTAGAAAGAATTGTGAAATAAAATAAAAATTAAGATAAAATAAAAACAAAAATTATAAAATAAATAATTTTTTTTTAACAATAAACAAAAATAGAATTAAAATAAAGCAAAACATAAATTGCTCAAATCAATTAAATTTGAGATTTTCTTAATATTGAAAAACCAATCCCCGGCAACGGCGCCAAAAACTTGTTCGGAGGACAAGTGTACCCATTGAAAAGTAATAAAAGGTTCTTAAATTAAGTTCCCGAAATATCCTCCCACAAGGATTAATTTCTAATTGCTAAGAATTTTCTAATTCAATTGTTTAAGCTTCAAAGATATGAGATCAATTAAAACAAGAATTTATAAAATCAACTATAAAACTAAGAGCAAGGAATACAATGCACGTCTTTGTTAAACTTATCAGAGAGGAACCTAGGGCATATGGGTTTTCTCATTTAATCCTTTATGTTATTTTTCTGTTTAACTCTAAATCTGATTTCGTTGTGATTACTCATCATTCATACGAATACTATTAATACCCAATGGTCATGCAATATTAATATTCTTTTCTCTAAATAAACATCCCAATAGTCATGCAAGACATCAATTTAAGAAAGCTTAAGAAACCTATGAACTTGTTAATTTAATAACAATTAAAAGAGAAATTTTGGTTTGGTCCACCTAATCCTTTGTCTCGTTTTACCCTATAGATCTATTAATTAACCAAGGTACAGTTGCCTGACGATATAATTAATTAAGATTAAGTGAGAAGAGCAATAGGATACAATCTAATCGCGAAGCGGAAATCAAATTTAGATTTAAACGTCAAAACTAGATAAATTCATGAACAATAATTCTCATAGCCCTAGCTATGGACTTAGTTACTCATGCTAAAGAAAGGAACTAAAACAATCATAAACAAAGCCATAATTAAATGAAATAGCAAACTAGAGTGTGAGATGTGTTTCCGGTCTTCAAGTATGATCGCTCGAAGCTCCAAGTCCCGCCAAGAGTGTGCCAAAGATCCCATACAAGAGAGACGAGATGTATCCCAAAGCAAAAGCCAAGGTCAAAACGGTCTCCACTACGATGCCTGAGGTCTCCCTTTTAATAGGGTTCAAAAACCCTAAAGACTCTTCATAATTGGGCTTCCCACAGATGAGCATGGCCATGCAAGGCCTTAAGCACAGCCGTGCATGGGCTCGAAGCACTCTCGTGCTTATTGAATGGGTCTGGGCGTACTGACTGCTGCGAAGCTCTAATCTTCCATTAATTTGAGCCTTTGCGGCTTCTTTATACCAAACTGTACAATTAATATATAAATTAGTATAAAACTCAAATAAAATAAAGGTAAAATATGAATATATGAGCTATAAAAAAGGGCCTAATTACAAACTTATCTGTTGTTCTGTTGGATATTTGTCATAAGGAATTCTTTTTATTTTGAATTGAAAAATGAATTTTATACTTATATTCTTCGTTATTTATTTCTTTCAAATAAGTAAGTAGTATAGAAATAATGTTCTCGATTCTTTACAAAAGGGATCGTGACACCTTTTGTGATTACTAATGTTTTTCCCTATGGTGCAGTTGAAATTAAGGATGAAGCCACCAGCAAAGTTTTTAAAGTTAATGGTCACTACCTGAAACTATTCTAGGAAAGCAAATCTATGGAGAAGGCTCAAAACATAGATGATGTATCTTTAGTGGAGCCTATTCTAATGGAGGAAGTGTCTACATAGGAAGTGTCTACATAGGCTAACAATCAAAATTTTCAAGATTTCATAAAATAACTTGTAAAATTCATAACTAATTCGATACAAGTTCAAACATCATGAAATCACCAAGGTTTTCTTCCTTTAAATGTCTACTATAATATAAAATTACAGTCAAAATACAAAAGCTTCCAAAGAAAATCAAGTTTCAGTTTACCTCTGCTGTTCTCAGATCATTTCACTAAACAGCCAGCATATTGTAAAATTCATAATAAATTCAATTCTCATCCAAAACACATGATATCAGTGAGACATTAACATGTCTATTTTCATGTAAAAATACTTCCAAAATAAAACTATTATTCCCAGACATCAATTCGTGCTTTAATTTCTCAGTTCATGTCACAAAATAGCACAATTTAACAACAACATATTGGAAAAATCATAAGTTATTCAATTCATCATCAAAACTCATGAAATCAGTGGCATTATTTCACTTTGGTTATCTAGTTTCCTATAAAAATATAATTAAAAATTTATGGCTTCCAGATTCCAGAACAAGTCCTAAACATTCTCTGTCACTCTCAATAACATACTTCTCAAAATCAGTCAAATAGAAAAGTCATAACTATTTTATTTTAAATCCAAAATTCATCAAATCAGTGGGAATATTTCTCTTATAGTCTCTATTATCATAAAAAAAATAATAAAATAACGCCACTTATAAATTTTAAAACGAAAATAAGTTTCTCAGTAGCATGCACAAAACGTTACTCTAATACAATAACATATTGAGAAAATCATAAGTATTTAAATTTAACTTCAATTTATCCAAACTCAAAGCGAATATTGTACTTATGAAGTTTAATTTTGTAAAAAGATATAAATAAAATAATATTATGGATGGAACTTAAGACAAAGAGAACTTATAGTGAGCTGTTCTCAGGAAATCATTCACATACATCACAATATACAAAAATTCATATCTATTTTGTTTCAAATCCAAATCAAATGAAACCAGTGAGAAAAGTTCCATTAATAAGTCTATTTCTATATAAAAATAGAGATAAAATAATGCCACAGAGAGAAATTAAAACGAAATTGAATCAAGGCACACTGCTCCCAGAATATTCTTTTCATGTAGCAGAAACTTAGAAAAATCATAAATAAATCAATTTAAATCCAAAAAAAGTAAAACCACTGGAAAAAGTTTCAAAATATAATTATACACATGAATAAAATACTAACAAAAATTTTTGCAAAGGTTTTCTTATATGTTACATTATTTACAGTTTAGTCCTTTTACTTTATGTTAATTGCAAAAAGGTCCTTTTTTCAATTTTTTGGTAATTCTTAGATAGTCCAGAACGTTTCTAATCAGCTTATGAGTCTTGAATCATGTCTCCACAAGTTCTAAAATATTCTCTTGGTTCTACCACACATGTGGTCAAGCGCCTTGCACTTTTAAGGTATATTGTGATCCAAAATCATAGTCCATCATCATGTCAAGGTTCAATCTTTCAAATTTATTCTTAGATCTTTGTTTTCATCATATTTCTCATATAGTCTAACAGTTCCAAATATGTTCAAGGTTCCATAGGTCCTCCTCATAGTAAATTTTCAATTTTAGTCCATTTCTTATTAAAGTTTTATACGAAAATCGTCAATAATGTCCTAAAAATACTTTTGAACTCCAATATAATCCAAACCAAAGAAAAAATCATATATCTTACTTAATTATCCTCAAATAAAATCACACAACATAGATCAAAGAGAAAATTTTCAGAATACACCCTTAGAAACAAATTTTACAGAAAACCCATATTTATCCATTACAGAAAATATGCAATTTCGTAAAAAATTTCCAAAGTCCATCTAATCAATTCCAAAGCATAAATCCACATGAATATATCATGGTTCATGAAAATAACACATAGCAAACAAATTCATTAACAAAATTCCATTAAAATATTGTTTTAAGTAAATTTTGGTTTTTCTGCAGAACTTTCTATTTTTGCTATTTTAGTGGTTTTCTTGTATATTCTTTTTTCAATCAATTTTTCTTTCATATGTATACCAAGACCACGAAATTTTCATCATACAAAAAGGGTTAAAGGCTCCCCTTTGACTCAAAAGTTCATTTAGCAAAGTATTCCCTTAATTTATGAAATAGTACTTCCCTCTTACTTGATTTTTTTTGTTGATCTTAGCTTGATCTTTGGGAAGTCCTTTTTTTCTTCTTCCCTTACTCTTTTCATCCTCTTGAAAGTGATCTTCCACCTCCTTCGGTCTCCTCTTCCACGTGATCAAGGCTTCCATCAAGAAAGTTGGTTGCTTTATGGATTTTGTGGGGTTTATTGTCTACTTTAGGACTTTTATGGTAAGTTGACGGATGATTCAACTTGGTGGGGTTCAAGAGATAGGTGTGAGACTGATTATAGAAGTGTTTAGAGGTTGCTAAAGATTGTTAAGTTTGGAAACTCTCTCTCCCTTGCATGGTTGCTCCATTCTTATGTGAAATGGAACTTTACTTTGAATGGGTTTCTAAAATTTTGTCTTGGCTATAAATTATTGTTGGTGGCTTCAGACTAAATAAAATAGTCTGACCCAATATGGCCCAATATCTAGAAATATCTCTAATCTAGAAATATCCTTACTCTAGACTTATCCATTCTCTAGAAACATCTCTAATCTAGAATTATCTTATTTAAAATACTATAAAATACTCTATGTTCTAGAACCATCCTTGTAATACTATAAATACCCCATTAATCCTCATTTTGGCATCAAGTTAAAGAAGCAAATTCTCATTCTCTACTAAGAGTTTCAAGCTCTAGTTCTCTCTTGTCCTATTTGAGAGTTCTAAGCATTTCTTGGTCACTTTCCCTTACTGGTTTATGAGCCATTTGGTATCAAGAGCCAGGTTCCCAGCTTCCTACGCTCTTGGTCGTTTAGAATTGACCTAAATTCTCTTCACTTCTTTCCTTACTGAAGTTAGTTTCGGTCACTCTTAAGAAGCATTTTGAGTCATTTCTTAACAAGCCAACACCGTAGACGCGCTCAGGAGAGGTTGAAGACAGTGACATCATCAGTCGCATGAGCACCACGCATTCAACAGTGTTGCGCCGCATATTGTCCCAAACCTTTTCATAATTTTATTCACACCCATACAACAAAATGCCACCAAGACGCCAAAATCGAAGGAATGCTCAAGAGATCGAGATGGACGAGTTACGCCGACAAATTCAAGAACTACAAGAAATTGTGGAGGAACAACAAGCTCTACTCAATCGTCGAAGGAACTCCAATTCAGAAAATGATTATGAAGAAAGTGACTCTTCGTCTAACACTAGTCACCCACGAAGAAAGAGCACTTGAGGCTACTTCGGCAACATCAAGATAGACATTCCTGAATTTGAGGGGAGACTACAGCCAGATGAATTTGTGGATTGGCTACAGACAGTGGAGTGTGTGTTCGAATTAAAAGAAATTTCGGATGAACAAAAGGTCAAGATCGTCGCTGTTAAACTGAAGAAACATGCATCCATTTGGTGGGAAAATATAAAGAAGAAACGTGAGCGGGAAGGCCGAAACAAGATAGAGACATGGGAGAAAATGAAAAAGGAACTCACTCGTAAGTTTCTTCCTGACCACTACTATTAAGATAATTTCATTAAGCTCCATAATTTACGCCAGGATTCTAAGATAGTAGAGGAGTATACTAGAGAATTTGAATTGTTGATGATGAAATGCGATATACAAGAGAAGGAAGAACAAACAATTGCTAGATTTCTTGGAGGGCTAAATCCTGAAATTTCCCAACTTGTCCAACTACAACAGTATTGGACCCTAGATGATGTAATCAAGTTAGCCATTCGAGTCAAAAAGTAACTCCCTAAAAGATCAATTTTCCAACCATCATCCTCACAAAGCCCTTTTACCCCTCGCAAAGCTCAACCATTACAACAAAACCCTTTCCAACCCTGTTAAAGACACTAGCCCCAAACAACCAACCTAATCCAAATCGCCTAAATGCTTCAAATGCCAGGGTTATGGGCACATTGCTTCCATATGTCCCAATCAAAGAGTTGTCACTATCATTGAAGGAGAGCCCTACGAAGCATCTGAAGAAGAACTTGAATTCTACCAAAATGATTTCAACAGTCTTCCAGTATTTGATGAAGAGTTGACCCCAGCAGATCATGGAGAAGCCTTAGTGGTTAGATGCAGTCTTCACACAGCAACCGTTAGAGAAGAACCATGGATGAGACACAATATATTCCACACTCGATGCACCACTCAAGATAAAATTTGTGATGTCATCGTCGATAGTGGAAGTTGTGAAAACGTTGTGTCTAGCTACATGGTGGAGAAATTGAAGCTCCCTACTGATGATCATCCACATCCCTACAAGCTACAATGACTGAATAAGGGTAATGAAGTCAAGGTTAGTAAACGTTGCCTAGTTGCTTTCTCAATCGGGAAAAAATATCAAGATGAAGTTTGGTGTGACGTCCTTCCCATGGATGCCTGTCACCTCTTATTGGGACGTCCATGGCAATACGATCGGAAGATTGTGTATGATGGGTTTAAGAATACCTACTCATTTGTCAAAGATGGAGTGAGAATCAAGTTGACTCCATTGGGTCCAGAAGAAGTCAACCCGACCTCACGCAAAGCCAAACCACTCGTATCCCTAATCTCTAAACCACAGCTTAAGATGACGAGAGAAGAATCTCAATCAACAAGCTTATTACTCATGGTCGAACAAAACATTGGAACACCTATTCCACAAGAAATAGAAAAGCTCCTTGCAGAATACCCAGATGTGGTACTTGAAGAAATTCCTCCTGGTTTACCACCTATAAGGGACATCCAGCATGCCATTGAATTTATCCCAGGAGCTGTTATCCCAAACAAACCTACTTATAGGATGAGTCCACATGAACATGCTGAAGTACAACGTCAAGCGGAGGATCTTCTCAAAAAAGGATTGATACAAGAGAGTGTCAGTCCATGTGTATCCCTGTCATATTAGTGCCCAAGAAAGATGGAAGTTGGAGAATGTGCATGGATAGTCGAGCCGTGAATAAGATTACCATAAAGTATCGATTCCCGATTCCACGACTCGATGATATGCTAGACCAACTACATGGAGCAGTCATATTCTCGAAGATTGACCTTCGCAGTGGCTATAATCAGATTAGACTACGTCCTGGTGATGAGTGGAAGACCGCTTTCAAGACAAGAGATGAGCTATATGAGTGGACTGTTATGCCGTTTGGCTTATCCAATGCACCTAGCACCTTCATGCGCCTGATGAATCAGGTACTACGCACTTTTATTGGAAAGTTTGTAGTTTTTTATTTTGACGATATTTTAATCTAGAGCAAAAGTAAGGGAGAACATCTAAACCATATTCGCCAAGTGTTGGACGTTCTTTGGGAGCAAAAGTTGTATGCCAACCTCAAAAAGTGCACCTTCTTGACCAATGAAGTAAATTTTCTGGGCTACATCATTACGAGTGAAGGTGTCAAGGTTGATCCTAGCAAGGTTGAAGCAATCATCAACTGGCCTACCCCTAACTCTGTGTAAGAAGTATAGAGCTTTCATGGATTAGCCTCGTTCTATCGAAGATTCATAAAGAATTTTAGCTCTATTGCTGCCCCGCTTACAGATTGTATTAAAAGAGATAAATTTCAACGGTCAGAACGCACTCAAAATAGTTTTGATGAGTTGAAGAGACGACTAATTGAAGCTCCAGTTTTAGCACTTCCTAACTTTGATCAAGTGCTCGAAGTAAGCTGTGATGCTTCGAATTGCGGCATTGGCGCTATTCTCAGTTAAGAAGGAAAGCCTATAGCTTTCTTTAGCGAGAAGCTAAATGATGCTAAACTCAAATACTCCACCTATGATAAGGAGTTCTACGCTGTTGTGAGAGCACTGCAACATTGGAGTCACTATTTGCTTCCTAAGGAATTCATCCTTTATACAGATCATGAAGCCTTGAAACACTTGAATTCTCAACAAAAGATCAGTCGTAGACATGCATCCTGGAGTGAGTTCCTTCAAGCCTATCCGTTTTTGCTTAAACACAAGTCGGGGGTTCAAAACAGTGTAGCAGATGCGCTAAGTGACGACGTGCATTACTATCTACAATGCAGATGAAGGTAGTAGGTTTTAAAATTATTAAGGAATTGTATTAAGATGATCCAGAATTTTGAAACATTTGGAGCTCTACAGAAAATCAACCTTTCCAACATTACCATCGACAACAAGGATTCCTATTCAAAAACAATGTCTTGTGTATTCCCCAATGCTCCTTAAGAGAAGCAATCATTTGGGAAGCACATGACGGAGGATTAGCTGGACACTTTGGACGAGACAAGACAATAGCCTTAATCAAAGAAAACTTCTATTGGCCGAGACTTGAAAGGGATGTTATTCGTCACATTCAAAGGTGTCGAATATGTCACCTTGCCAAGTTCACAAGCCAAAACACTAGGCTATACCTACCTCTTCCAGTACCAGTTGCACCATGGGAGGATATCGACATGGATTTTGTGTTAGGATTACCTCGTACACAACGACAGAAGGACTCAGTAATGGTGGTCGTGGACCGGTTCTCTAAAATGACCCATTTCATACCTTGCCAAAACACCAATGATGTTGTTCACATTGTCGATCTATTCTTCAAGGAGATTGTTCGACTTCATGGAATTCTCAAAACCATCACTTCGGATAGAGATGTTAAATTCTTAAGCCATTTTTGGAGGACTCTATGGAAGAAGATGGGCACTAACTACAGTTCAGCAGTGCTAGCCACCCCCAGACTGACGGACAAACAGAGGCAATAAATAGACTTCTGGGAAATCTACTATGAAGCTTTGTTCAGAAGAATCTTCGACAATAAGATCTTATCTTACCTCAAGTTGAGTTCGCCTACAACAATTCCAGTAATCCTGCTACTGAAAAAATGTCCATTTGAGGTCGTGTATGGTACTAGACCTCTTAGCCCATTGGACTTGATCCCTATTTCCACTAATAACCAGTTCAGTGTCGATGCTGACCAAAGAGCAAAGGAGATTAAGAAGCTTCATGAGCAAGTTCGAGCACAAATTGAGAAGCAAAATACCAAGTATAAAACTCAACAAGATAAGCATCGGAGACATGCTATTTTCAAAGAAGGAGATTTGGTATGGATTCATCTGCGGAAGGATAGATTTCCAAAGTAGTAAAATGCTAAATTGTCTCCAAGAGCAGATGGACCATTCCGAGTAGTACAGAAGATCAATGACAATGCTTATAAGATAGAACTGCCTGAGTCATACAGAGTTTCTGCTACATTCAACGTTGCAGATCTATTGCCTTACTATGAAGATAATACTTAGACTCGAGGACGAGTCTTTTCCAACCAGGGGAGTATGACCCAATATGGCCCAATATCTAGAAACATCCCTAACAATATGGTCCAATATCTAGAAACATCCCTAATCATATGGCCCAATATCTAGAAATATCTCTAATCTAGAAATATCCTTACTCTAGACTTATCCATTCTCTAGAAATATCTCTAATCTAGAATTATCTTATTTAAAATACTATAAAATACTCTATGTTCTAGAACCATCCTTGTAATACTATAAATACCCCATTACTCCTCATTTTGGCATCAAGTTGAAGAAGCAAATTCTCATTCTCTACTAAGAGTTTCAAGCTCTAGTTCTCTCTTGTCCTATTTGAGAGTTCTAAGCATTTCTTGGTCACTTTCCCTTACTGGTTTCTGAGCCATAGTCTTTGACAAGTATTTTTGCTTCACAAGGTGGCCTCCTTAAAGTTTCTCATCTACGTTCAAATTGCTCCCAAAGTTTCAAAGCATGGTTAGCAATTTTCTAAGTCATTATGTCATGTTTTATGACTTTGTACTTGTCCAATTTGATTCTAATTCTTTGGTTTACTAAGTCTAGTTTCTTTTCTCTTAATTCCTCCAATTATTAGTTTCATTGGAAAGGGTTTGGTCATGATTTAATGAGAAAATTTGGCAAGGGATAATGTATTGACTTGAGTCAATATTCCTTCATCATTTCCTGAAAGTTTAGATGACTCAAGCTCTTCTCTTATTGGCTCTTTCTCTCTCTCCCTTGGCCCCTTACGGTTACTCCCTCTTGGAGCAAGTGTGGAGATTTAATTTGGGGCCCAATTGAAGCTTCTCTCATAAGCCTACACATGGCCATCTTTCCTAATGCCAAAATTGCCCTCTATCATGATTCTTGTCCTTAGATTCTTTATCCAATTGTACTCAAATCCTCTTGGTTTCTTTCTAATTCTTTTAGTTACTTTAGAGTGTATCTTCTAGTCTCATTTGGCTGGGGTAGTCATGGTTCCTAAGTTCAAAATTGGATGGAAATTGAGTCTTGCCACTTATTCAAAATCCTAATCATGAAACCTTGACTTGCCTTTCTTTCTTATTGGCTACTTCCTTCCAGCTTCTTTCATGCTTCATTTACTGGTCAATTGGCTTCTCTTTCAAGCCAAGAAAACGTGCAAATTTAATTGGGTTAGGTAAGTTACAAATTTTGCAAGTTTTTGGCACAAAATGGGCCATTTTCCACATCATATGTGGGCTATTTTGAGGAATTTGGTTTGAATTTTGTACTTGGATTTTTGGCTTGATTCTTGAATTTACATAGCCCTATTTGATCCAATATCTTACCATAAAAATTTTATAATTTATTTCATTCATTTGCTTGCCCAAAAGGGACCTCCATCCTAAGTGTTTTTAGGGATAGTTTGGTCATTTTGGTCAAATTTTGCAATTTTGTTTATTTTCCATTTTTGGATCTTTCTAACCCTCTTATAAATCATATAAGACTATTTTAAATAGTCTAAAAAAATTTATATATTTATTTTCTTTTATATTACACGATTCTTTACCGATTAGACTCATTTCGGTAAATTTTGTTAAAGAAAATTTTAGTTCTAGAGTCTCTATGTTATACTTATATTTTATTCAATGAGGTTTATATAATTCAACAATCATTTATAGAGTAAAGGAAATTTAGGGTTACATCACCAATGTGGATAGGCATGCCTATGAGGATGGCATATATGAGCTCTGCCCGCTTCACTGCCAATGTGGAAGAATGGATGACTGGCATGAAGGAGTTGAGGATAAAGACACTCCAAATTTTGGCTCCAGGAAGCAGGCGTCTTGTTGTCAGGTTCTTGGGGTGCATTCTGGTGTCAAACTCCCAGTTCTCACCCTCCTTGCAGATGGCTTGAAGGGTAGGCTTATAATCCTTGTCCTCCAAGATGCTAAAAGTAGAGAAGTCCAGCTGCCCAGCTTGTTTACGCACAACGTAGATATTCAGAATTCTTTGGATGTTGGAAGGGGTGAAATTGATCTCCTTGCCTCTCACCATGTTGTGTCAAGGGGGAAGAGTGTCGCCTTTTACCGTAATGGCGTTTGCATAGAATTCCTGGGTGATTTCCTTCCACCCATTGCCAGCAGAGGTCCCAACCACTTTTTTGAATTTCCTCTTGAATTTCAAAATTCTTGTTCTGCACCAATTCCCCTCTTAAAATGTTGGTTTTGAAGTAGTTTTCATGCTCCAATAACCAAAATCTAGGGTCATGTGTAGGTGGAGGCCTGGATGAAGATGCATCAGTTGTCTTGTCTCTCTTGGGCCTTCGAGGATTCTTTTTTGGTGAGTTAACCATGGTTGTTGCAAAGAAGAAAAGAAGAAATACTGAGTTGGATGCACACTAATATGATACAGCAAAGGTATATGGCAAACAAAATAAGATTCAGATTGAAAGTGAACAAGGCAAACCATAATGTGCGTTGTAATGTGAGTATCAGACATGATGACATTGGAGCATGAAAATTGAAACAAACAACGATGTAGTAGCAAAGTGAATTAGGTGTAGGGAATGTAGAGAATTAGGGTATGTCAATGAAGTGTCAAGAAAGAGCACTCAAATTATAGGCAGTGTAGATTCAATGCAGACAATTAGCAAGGATGATTACTTCCAATT